ATGAAGGGATTCGGGAAACAAGATGAACAAAAGGGGAATAAAGACAAATGAAAACCAGAACAAGACAGTACGAGACTTAGCTTGAAAAGTGGTGAACCTGGGCACTTCATTACAGATGTAGACGCAAAGTTAATACAAAGCTCTATTCCCAATGACCACAAAGTTAGATTAGGAAAGCTAAACAACAACAGAATGAATACCCACCTATTCCCAAAGACCACAAAGAGGTCAAGATGGGAAAAGGGGGGTATCAAAATACAAGCTACCATAAGTGAGAAAGTACATCACAAACTAAAGATGGGAACAATCACAAGGCACGGTTACAAGGCAATGGGGAACAACAGACAACAATCACAAGCTGATGGAAAGGAGAAACTCTGGAGAAATACGAAAGAGAGAAATAGACCAAGTCCCACTGCTTCTGTACAACACCCTCAACCACTTCTTTGCATTACCCCCCTTCTAAGCACCATTGTTGTAAGACCCCAGGGATGATCTGCAAGGCAGCACACCAAGTAGTCTAGTAACAAAGATGAATAATGAGCATGGTGAGGCCGTGAGTATGCGTAGCTAGTAACAAAGTGGATAAAACTAAAGAGCAACATCACGTGATGGTTGGTGAGACGTAACCCGCCCACGTGCTCAACGCGCGGGCCGCCACCATCAACGCGCGCCACTCTTCAGCCATCCACTGCCGCTACATTTACTCTACAAGGCTAAGTACGCTATGTATTGTAACACTCAGTCCATGCAAAAAGAAAAGTCCAATCCAAAAAAAGAACGCTGCCCCTCTCAACTCCGGCGGCGTCGACGGGCCTTCTTCCTGGTCCTGCCTGCCAACTCTGCTGCCAAAAACTCAGCAATTGTCTCCTGCGCACCTTCCAAGTTCTCCTCCGGCTCCCACTGATCCTCTGTCTCTCCATACCCAACCCAACGCACCAGATACTGCATGCCGGTCTTTCTCTTGCGTGATGCCAATATCCTTTCCACCTCATACTCCGCCCCACCCTCCATCTCAATTGCCGGTGGCGGCACCTGCTTCCTGCCAATGATGGTGTCTGCCGATGCTGGTACCAGGCATGAGACATGGAAGACATTGTGAATCTTCCATGTAGCTGGCAACTTGATGCGGTAGGCCGTGTCCGAAATCTTCTGCATCACCTTGAACGGCCCAAAACGCTTGAAGTCCAGTTTCTTGTTTGAGCAAACTGAGCGCAGGTCAGCACGCTCCACAAACAACATATCTCCAGCAACCCAATCCGGCGCCTTGTCCACCCAGGCATCATGGTAGACCTACATCTTCACTGCTGCCATCTCCAGCATTGACTTCAACTCCTTCTCAGCAGAAATGGTGTTGGCACTGACTGGGTCAATAGAGAAAGACAGGTGGTAGCTGTACTTGTAAGACCTGGGGATGATCTGCAAAGCAGCATGCCAAGTAGTCTAGTAACAAAGATGAATAATGAGCACAATGAGGCCGTGAGTATGCGTACCTTGTAACAAAGTGGATAAAACTAAAGAGCAACATCACGTGATGGTTGGCAACACGTGCTTGACGCGCGGGCCGCCACCATCAACGCGCGCCACTCTTCTGCCATCCACTGCCGCTACATCTACTCTACAAGGCTAAGTACGCTATGTATTGTAACAGCAATGTCCTGACGGCCTCCAACGCAACCTGCGGGCCATCAACATTGAGCTTAAGAGGAACACAATGCAAGTAGAAAGCAAACCTGTTGGTTGATGGGCGACTAGAAGCTCCTGGCCTGAACTGAATCCATAAGCCGTTATCTTGCTGGGGAAAACACTAAATGTTGGAGTCGGAATGGTGAGCTCTTTGCTCATTGACCGAATAAAAGCATAGTTCCTACCCAGGCAGTATAGCGTTGACACTAGTAGGGTCGCAGGGCACTTAGTGTGGTGTCATGTTATTGGGTGCATGAAACACAATGTACGTGATGTTACGACCAATCAACTTGTAAGCCAGCTGTGAGGTAAGGTGGTTTACTGGGAAGATGTGTTAGACTGTGGACGGTGTGTGTTGAGGTAATGGAGATACCTGTTGCTTTGCTGGCGTTGTCTGTTGGTGCGTTGAGTAATTTGACATAGGGAAGGAATTGCAACAGGAGTGGCAGGGTACGTACAACTGTAGGTGCCTGTTCCTGGGCTTGCCAGAGCTGTCTTGCTAGCGGCAGTAAGGAAGGCGACCAAGGAGATGTTGACCACACATCCTGGGTTGATGTTGTTGGAATCCTTTGACAGGAGAGGCGCAAGACTAAACCAGATAGCTGTGAGATGTACGGCTCAGAGCGGCGTAGATGCAAGTCTCACCCAACAGTCACTGATAAGAAATGGTGAGCATATGACAGAAACTGGTTGCAAAGAAAGTGTACTGTAAAATATGCTCTTGACGTTGACGTTGAAGATATTGTTCCATCCTTTTGCTTCTGGGAAGTCGTCCATTGGGGCACCCCAGGTGATACCCGAGTTGTTTATAAGAACGTGCAGCTTGTTCTCGCGCTTTTTGAATTCAGCAATCAATGTGTCGCAGCCAGCCTTTGACTGTCACAGGGATATGTCAGCACACATGGCTTACAAGCACGTAGAAAGCAGCTTACCCCAACGTTTGCTACAATGTATTCAACACCTCCTGAGCCCAGCTTGCGCAACTTCTCAGTGCCCTGAGCGGATTGAAGCAAGTGTCAAGTAGACTAAGTCCCACTGCTCCTGTACAATACCCTTGACCACTTCATCACACACTTGTACCTTCATTAGGCAATGCCCTTGACCCACTCTAGCCTTGTCTTGACAGGCAGTCCGCGCATATGATCTGCAGTTAACCCCCCTGACTGTTTCACAAGGTATTTGCCTGTTACTATCCAGCAGTTTGGCCCTGTGCCAGTGAAGCAGTGAATGCCACAAGGGATGGTGAGTATACACTCAGAGAGCACCATGCTGTGTTCCCCAGGTTTCTTGGGCAGATCAGGGTTCCAATCAGTATTAAACACTAAGCTATACACACAATCCAGACATGCATTGAGTGGATATAGCAACAAGATTCTTTGGTAAAGTAGATTCACTAAGGGCTTTTCCTCTTCTCTATCAGTCCCGGAATGACTTTGCATTT